AGTGCGCATGTTGGTGGGTAGGACCTTCAGGCCGAGTTCCTCCTTTGCGGAGGGCGGCGTTCTTTCGCAGCCCACAGTGCCCTCTGGAAGATCGCGGGTCACGCCACTTTCGGAGTTGGGAAAAACCGCCGGTGCTTTATGGGGACGAGAGAGAGGCGAGAGAGAGAGAGAGAGAAATAATGAGAGAGAGAGAGAGAGAGAGAGAGAGAGCCGAGGAAGAGGATGAGGAAGCGAAAGATGGTAAGAGTGGGTGCTACGGGGGGATTGTATATATTTATATATATATGTGATAGCGAGCGGTCGCAGTGACCTTCGACAGGGGGGGGGGGGGGGGGGGCTAGGATGAGGGCTGCAGGGGCGGGGGGTACGGAGGCGGCGGCGTCCATTGAGCGGCGCCGAGGCGGCGGCCGTGCGGCGGCGGCGCTGAGTGCCGCCGCCGCACGGCGCGTGGTGGGCGCCGCGCTCGCCGCCCCCCCCCTCCCTCCCCCCCAACCACCACCGATTGGTTTGTTTCCACCGCCGCCACCATAAGCTGGAGGGGGGAAGGAGGTGGAGGAGGAGGAGGAGGAGGAAGAGGAGGGGGGGAGGAGGGGGAGGAGGAGGGGAGGAGGAGGAGGAGGAGGAGGAGGAGGAGGAGGAGGAGGAGGAGGAGGACGAAGAGGAGGAGGAGGAGGAGGAGGAGGAGGAGTAGGAGGAGGAGGAGGAGGAGGAGGAGGAGGATGAGGAGGAAGAGGAGGAGGATGAGGAGAAGGTGGAGGAGGAGCTAGAGGACCCCCTCCCCCTCCAACATATAGTGGTGGTGGTGGAAAGCAAACCCATCATCCACCACCGCGCCCCTCGTGTTTGTTCTCGCCCTCCTCCCCTTCTCCCAGGCACAGCTTCCAGGGGCCCTGCCCTGGGCGATCCTGGCCCGGTTCGGAGCCCCAGCTCTGGAAGCACGTCTGCGGCAAGCCTGGGCGAGATCACGCCAAGGGACCGCGCTGTACGATCCACAGGTGAGGCGCTAGGGAACGTCTGCCTCGGGCCAGGAAGCGGCGCCACGAGAGACATGGACTAGCCGACTTCGCACCCACACGGCAGACGTTGGTCTGAAAACAGCCCCTGACCACCTCACGGGGGGTGCACGGTGAGGGGAGGACGGCGGTGAGGTCCCTGAAGGAAGAGATGAGCATCCACACGCCTGGCAGCGAGCAACGTCACCGCAACTCATGGGGCAGCGGTGCTCAGAGGATCCTGCCGCTCTGCGCAGTCGCTCTCTGGCCGACTGCCTGAGCTTCAGAGGTGGAGGACGGGTGCGACAGCGTCCCTCCTTGCCAAGAACATTAGGCATGACGGCCACAAGGTGGTTCTCGACCTTACACGCCAGCCCATCAGCAAATCATACAGGGGCCGAGATGCCATGTGGAAGCTGAACGGGGGTGGCGAAATGCCCTGCAACCTGATCCGCCGCGGCATTCGCCAACACCACCCCAGGACTCAGCCCCCGGGGCAGAGCTTGTCTGAGAGACAGGCAGTTCGGGACCTGAACGAGAGCCATATCGCCCATCAGGTCCAAAGCGCTCCTCGCGCGGCCCCAGAGATCCACGTGGGCCAGAACTCGTTTCGGGAGGCCAGCCAGGAGACGCGCAAAACCACGGGCCACATAGGCCGAGTCGCACGCGCGCCCAAGGCGGGGCCCCCCTAGGGGCGGCCCCCAGGAAAGAAGCGAAAACCCAGACCTCTCTTCTGTTCACAGACTGCTTGCCAACAATGCCCAGCCCCCACTTAAATATTGAGTGCCAGAGCTAGACGCCAGATCGGGGGGGGGGGGAATATCGCGCTGAAGAACCGCGACGCCCCAAGACACCCTCCTTAGATGCTTGTCCCTCGAGAACTCACTTCCGCTCGCGCCCCCAGCGCCTCAGATGCGTTTTACCACAGCACACCGAGGACACTCACCTGAGGCGGAGGAGATCGGATCGTCGGGAGGCGGAGGGACCTCAGTCCAAGATCGGGGCACGAGACCGCGGAGCCACAAACATGAAATGTCATTGGAGGTCTGAGCGCCTCTCCTGGCAAAATATTGATCCATTCCCTGAAACTCAGCATTGCACGGGTACTCCCAGAACCTATGGGTGTCCGTTTCAGGGGCCGTGCCGCGCCAAGGGCAAAGCTCTTCCGTCTCGCCCCCGCAGGCAAGGGTACGGGAACGAGTCCAGACGCCCCCAGTGAGCACGGATCGGAGCAGCCCCCATTTCTGGACTGACTTGCGACGAAGAGAAGGCAGGTGCTTCCAGGCAGCAGTTCAATCGACCCCCCTTGAGCACCACTCCCGTGACGATAAGTTGAGCCCGCCGCTTGTGCTACCAGCGGCGGGGTTCGCCTCTTCCCTTCCCCTAATTTCCCTTTAATGTTTCCCGATGCGTGTCTTCTAACTGTAGTATTGTCCCTCTAATTGTCTTGCATTTCCGATAAGTGTCTTGTATTTCCGATCATCGGCCATATGGTATACACCATACAAGCGACACAAACGCATGGTATCAAGGAGGAAGGAGGAATGAGGATGCCTCAGACCCTCCCTCACCAGTAACATGCCCACCCTCATCCCTGCCCCCTCCTCGCCCTCCCCCTTCCTTCCTCATCGTCCTCTTCACTGCTATTCTACTCGAGATGGCTAAGCGGCGGACTTCCCGACACCTCGGGGAGCCTCCCTGCAGGCCTCTGGAGGCCTTCGAGAGGCGCTTCTCCTCCCCCTGCTGGTCTTCGTGCCGTTCCCTCTTCCCACCTTTCCTCCTTTTTCCTCCTTGGCATTGCTCGGGCGTGTGCGTTTTTTCTTCTGCGAGGACCATCGAGGAGCATCCTGGACCACGTAGCAAACCAAACACGCGCGAAACCGACACATGCACGGGGAATGGACGTCCGAGCGATAGCAAGCCTCCTGCCCGCGCTGGGCGATAGCAAGCCTCCTGCCGCGAGGGCTGGGCACGGGAATTACCGTCCAGGCACTAGAGGGGAAAAATCCCCGGGAGGTCCCGGGAGGTGGGGCCCCGGGAGGTGGGGGCCTTCCCGCTAATTCGTCCCTGTGTTTTTACAGGGTTTCATTCTCGGGAAATTATCGGGAAGGGTCCCCGGGAGGTGGGGCCCCGGGAGGTGCCCAGGAGGTCCGTTCATTCTGGACGGTAATCCCCGAACCCCTGGACGGTAATCCCCAGCAATGAAAATCATGCGGGGCGAGGGGTTGGGGAGCTCGGGTTGCTCTCTTGCAGTTGCGCCTCGCCGAGAGCCTTCCAGAGCCTCCTCCTCCTCCTCCTCCCTCTCGGTGACGTGGTGACGGCCCTCCCTCCTCTCCTCACCCTCCTGCTGCCCCTCTCCCTCCCCCTCTTGCTGCTCCCCTCCTGCTGCTCCCCTCATTGTTCGGCTCCTTTTCCCCACTTGTTCCCTCCGTCGCTTCCTGGTCGTCGTCCCCTCTCGTCGTCTTCCCCTCACCTGCATCCTTCCTCCGCGTCTCGCTCTTTCGACTCGTTCGATGTGTCGTGCCATCATACCGTCACCATAGCATTATAGTGTACGTCTTATGCTCATATCATGTTCTACGTGCAATATTGTAGGCCAACCATGTAAGACCGAGTATGGCTGACGCCCATAAGCATTCATTGGAACAGGGGAACTAGCGGGAATTAGCGGGAACGGTTAGAGGGGAACCAGGGGAATTAGCGGGAACCAGGGGGATTAGCGGGAATTAATTTCCAGGAAATTGTTGGGATTATCGGCGAGAGGAATAGGCGGAACAGCTCTGGTAGCACAAGCGGCGGGCCCAAACGATAAGAAGAAGCCGGGGCCCGCAAGTTCATCTCAATGCTGCGGTCCATTTCGCGCTTGAAATCGGATGTTACATAAGCCTGGGAACGGAGCTCATCAGGAACAGCGAAGACATCACCGTCCACGGGCCCTTGAGTTCCAATCCCAGCTCAGTCATAGTCGCCACCACGGCAGAGATGGGCCCTCGAATGTTGTGCCATCGTCGGGGGGGGGCCCAAGGAAGAGATGCGCTCAACCGTATCTTTCCAGCACCAAAGCATGCGGCTGACAGCTTTTTCAGGCAAGGCGGTCACGATCTGAAACCACGACTCCCAAAGCTGAAGAACTGTCGTGAACGCAGGGTCCTTCTTGCGGACCTCCAAAGCCAAAAGGGTGGTCAAACACCGTCCCGCACAAGTACGAGCGATAGAGCTGGCCAGTGCTCGTTGCCACTTCTGGAGGACCGAGGGCGCGACCCCAAAGACCTTCCAGGCGTAGGACGCTTGCGGCAAAGCCCCCGTGAGGAACAAACGCGCCCCGATCTTGCGAGGAGCCACCGAAGCCAACTTTTTAATTCGGACAGATCGGCGGTGGGCTTGCTGAAGTCTCTTGGAATGCCTTGGTTTCGATCCCGACACTCCACTGCCACGCTCGATCCCGAGATCGGCCACAACCGAGGCCATTTCGACCTGGACGCCATTCGATCTCAGTCCCGACTGGATGGCACGTGCCACTGACAGCTCAGACGCCGCGATAGTGGACTTGCTAGCAAGCTTGCTCTTCTCTCTCGAGCAGCCCTCCACAAAACGGTGCCTGTCTGAACTGACCCTCGAATCACATCACGCTTAACACCCTCCGCACGCTGAGTGACGTCGTCGACCCACGTGCGGAGAGAAAAGGGCGCTGCTGGCGCACGCCCTCACACAAATCTGAAACATCTCGAGGAGGAGGAGGAGGATGACGAGGACGAGGAAGAGGAGGAGGAGGAGGACGAGGAGGAGGACGAGGAGGACGAGGAGGAGGAGGAGGAAGAGGAGGAGGAGGACGAGGAAAAGGGGTAGGCGAGGACCCTTCTGGCTGGGAGGCGGAGGCCGTGCTGGAGGTCTCCGATCGAGGATCGTGGCGGAGGTGTCATCGGGGACGTCACCCGTCTGTGATGATGGCGACGCCGCGGCCGTCGCGGGGGCGGATCGCCCCGCGCCCGCCGGCCGCGGCGCGCGCAGGCGCGTTCCTGGGCCCGCCGGGCTGTCGGCGGGCGGCGGCCTGGTGGACGCGTGCCCGCAGTGGACGACCAGGCGCAGCCGCGCTCCGCCGTGGCCGCCGCCGTCGCGGTGGCCGCCGCCGCCGTGGCCGTCGCCGTCGCCATCGCCTCCGCCGAGGCCGTCGACGCCATGACTATCGCCGTCGCCGTGGCCGTGGCCCCCAGCGGGGGTGGCCGTCGTCGTCGCCTTGGCCGTGCTACTACAGCCGCTTCTGCTCCCCCATTTCGGCAGCGCGCCCAGGAGGGAACGCGGAGGAAGCGGGCCTTCCCAGAAGGCTCGGGAGGCCTTTGGCTTACCGAGAAACTGTCTAAGCATTCTGCGCAGCACCGCCGCCATTGAGAAGGCCTGCCCCCTCTCGCTTCCCCCTCTGCGCGCCGACGTCTATTGCCTCCCTCTCTGCCCCCCTCTGCTGCTCAGCAGGGGACGGGGGGATGTGTGTGTGTGGGTATACATCAAGAGAGGCAAAACCACATGTGCGTTTAATGAGCGGTCCTTGGCGCTTTCTGGACAGTCCTGGCCTGCCCGGTTCCTCCCGTAGGTGCGCTTACTAAGGGGCTTCGCCTATAGGGGTGCTTATTCTGAGGGTGGTTCTTCTGCTGTTTCAGGGAGGGGAAGGGGAGGGTCATCTGGCGAGCCAGACTCGGCGACAGGACAGGACAGGGAGCGTGCATACATGCCCTGGTGAGCGGAGCGCTCCCTGAGGGCAAGCCGTGCGCCCAGCGATCAGGAGAAGAAGATGGTTAGGCAAGCGAAGAGGACAACTTGTCCCTCCCGACCCCAGCAACCTCCCTGTCGATACGAGATCTCGATCTGGGTCCTGCGGGCCTGCAAAGATGATGGGCAAAGCAGTCACCAAGTGCTTCTCCGAGCCTTCTGAGATGAGTCGGCTGCTGCTTTTCCTCGGCGCACTCCCAGCGCCCCCAGAACAGTTCTGTCCTCGCGGGCCTGGCGCTCGCACAGATCGGTCGGACAAGCACAGGGCCGCTGCGCAGCAGATGAGCGCATGCGAGAAAGCCTTCTCCTCCTCCTCCTCCTCCTCTTCCTCCTCCTCCTCCTCCTCCTCCTCCTCCGCCTCCGACCGGGGGGGGGCGGCCGCGGAGGGAGATGGGAAGGGCGACCTGCGCAGACCACGTATAGGTCCTGCGGCGGCGTGCATTTCGCCCAGAGGGCGCGCCCGAGCCAGCCTAGGGGCCCCAGCGGCAGCGGAGCGAGGCGGGCAAGAGTGCGCGCCGTCACCGGGAAGCTGGCCCCGCTCGCGGGGTCAGGGCGCCCCCCAAGCCATACCTCAGCGAGCGAAGAGCGGTATAAAGTAAACGTTTTCGCCGTCGGGGACACCTGCCCCTGGGCGGCTGGAAAGTTTATACCCCTCCGGTGCCACCGAAAGGGTATAAACTTTCCAGCCGCCCTGGGGCAGGCGTCCCCGACGGCGAAACAGTTTATGTTATACCGTTCTTCGCCCGTTAAATACCCCTCCCACCCGCCCGCCCGCCTGCCTCGCCCTGCCCGCCCAGCTGCCTGGCCCCTGCGCGGCGCAGGGTGGAGGCATCTTGGCCGCCTCAGGGGCGTCTTGGGACCGTCGTGGAAGCCGTCTTGGGTTTTCTTGGTCGTCTTGGGGCCATCTTGGCCGCCTTGGAGGCCATTTTGGGTGTCTTGGGTGCCTCTGGGCCCTCTTTGTGCCCTCTTAGGGGCCGTCTTGGGGGCCTCCTGGGCCGTCATAGGGCCATCTTGGCAGCCTCTTGGGCGATCCTGGAGCTATCCTGGGTGTCTGTTGGGTCGTCTTGGGCCGTCGGACGGCCGAAAAGGCGCAAATACCCAAATCCGTCAACATCGTGCGGTAATGAAGGATTGTGGCTCCTTCGGGCCTTCCTGTATGTCCTCTGGGAGGCCTCTTGGGCCATCTTGGAGGCCTCTTGGTGGCCTCCTGGGCCGTCTGGGGATATCTCGAGGCCACCTCAGGCCGTCTTGGATGCATCTGGAGTTGCCTTGGATACATCTTGGGGCCATCTTGGCTTCTCCTGGGGCCATCTTGGCTGTCTGAGGCCATCTTGGCTCTTGGGGCCGTCTTGGAGGTTCCTTGTGCCGTCATGGGGCCATCTCGGAAGCCTCTTGGGCGATCTTGGGGCTACCTTGGAGGTCTGTTGGGCCGTCTTTGGGCCGTCGGACTCCGAAATGGAGGAACTACCCAAATCCGTCAAACAACCTTGCGGTAATCAATGATGTTGGCCTCTTCGGGTTCGGGCCTTCCAGTATGACTTCTTGGAGGCCTCTTGGGCCGTCTTGGAGGCCACTTAGGAGCCTCCTGAGCCGTCTTGGGCTATCCTGAGGCCATATGCGGCCGTCTTGGGTGCATCCAGGGCCGTCCTGGAGGCATCTTGGGGCCATCTTGGACTCTCTTGGAGCCGTCGTGGCCGTCTAGGAGACATCTTATGACATCTTGGAGGCCACCTTTCGCCATCTTGGCCGTCCCTGGGGCGATGTGACCAGTGAGCGCTGGATGTTGTGCAGCATCTTCGGGCGGCCGCCCGGTTGGCCGAAGCCCCCAGGGGAGTTTTACAAGCAAGCGCAACAACAGAAAGGTCTGCACGCCAGGCACCCCTGAGGCAGTCCACAGGGGGCGGCGGATCGAAGACGCCTACGGCGAATCACCGCCGCCCCCTGCCTTTTTGGAAGCGCCTGTGTGGCCGAACGTTGAGGCCAGACCTGCCAAGCTATCGGACCATGTGTTCCCCGAATCGTTTTGGAAAGCCTTCGGGGAACACGTGGGCATCTTGAAGGTCATCTTGGCCGTGAGGCCATTTTGACCCTTTCGGGCCTTCTTGGAGGACCTCTTGGAGTGCTCTTGGGCCGTCTTGGGGGCCATCTTGAGCGTCTTGGAGACCTCTTAGGCCGTCTTGGGGGCCTTTTGGGGCCGTGTCTTGGGCCTCTTGGGCGATGTTTGGGGGCACTTGGGCCGTCTTGGATCATGGTCTTTTCGGGCCTTCCTAGAGGCCCTCTTGGATCACGATCCCATGGGAAATCAATGATTTTGGCCTGTTTGGGCCTTCCTGGAGGTCCTCTTGGAGGCCCCTTGGGCCGTCTTGGGCCAGCTTGGGGCCATGTTCGGCCGTCTTGGTGGGCTCCTGGTCCGTCTGACGCCGTCGGAAGCCGTTTGGGGGGCCTCTATGGGCCGACTTGGGGCCCTCTTGGAATGCTCCAGGGCCGTCTTGGAGGCCTATCTTGGGCGTCTTAAAGGCCTCCTGTGCCGTCTTGGGGGCCTCTTGGGGCCGTCTTGGGGCCCTCTTGGGCCGTTCTGGGGCTATCTTGGAGGCCTCTTGGGCGATCTTGCGGCGATCTTCGGGGGCTCTTGGGCCGCCTCGGGCCGTCGGAAGGTCGAAAAGAAGCAAATGTCAACATTCGTCAAAAACCAGAGGGAAATCAATGTTTTGGGCCTCTTCTGGCCTTCCTGGAGGCCCTCTTGGGGGCCTCTTGGGCCGTCTTGGGCCAGCTTCGAGCCAACGTCGGCCATCTTGGTGGGTTCCTGGCACGTCTGACGCCGTCGGGAGCCGTCTTGGGGGCCTTTCTGGGCCGACTGGGGGCCCTCTTGGGGCGCTTCGGGGCCGTCTTGGAGGCCATCTTGGGCGTCTTGGAGGCCATCTTGGGCGTGTTGGAGGCCTCTTGGGGCCGTCTTGGGGCCCTCTTGGGGCCGTCTTGGAGGCCACTTGGGCCGTCATGAGGCCCTCTTGGGGGCCTCTTGGGCGATTTTTGGGGCCTCTTGGGCCGTCTTGAGACGTCGGGAAGCCGAAAAGGCGCAAATGCCAAAATCCTTCAAAAACCTACGGAAAACTTACGGAAAATCAATGATTTTGGCCTCTTCGGACCCTCCTGGGGGACCTCTTGAGGCCTCTTGGGCCGTCTTGGAGGCCTCTGGGGGGCCTCTTGGGCCGTCTTGGGCCGTCTTGGACTCTCTTGGGCCGTCTTGGAGGCCGTCTTGGACCATCTTGGGCGGACTTGGAGGCCATCTTGGGCCATCTTCGCGATTTTGTGAGGATGTCCCGCGAAACGGCCGTTTTTGGGCATCGACGGACGCGCTTTACGGGTGGCCGGCGGGACGTGCCGGAGCCCCAGGGGGAGTTCTTTTGGAAAAAGAACCAAAACCAAACCCTAAGAAGTCCAGCACGCCAGGCACCCCTGCGATGAATCGACAGGGGGCGGCGGATCTAGTTGCCTTCGGTCCATCCCGCCACCGTGCTGGCGTCGTGGGTCAGAGGCTTGTTGGATGTTTGTTGGGGCCTCTTGGGCAGCCTCTGGTGGGGAGCATCACGGAGGCAGTTCTGCAGCCTCTTGGGGCTTTATTGGGGTCCGCTTGGGGGCCTTTGGGGGCTTCTGCTGGGACTCTTGGGCACTCTTGGAGCCAGAGTAGGAGCATATCGGCGTCACCCCAACGTACTAATGCTACGAGCGCGTCGCCCCCCCAGGGGCGACGCGCGCACCGAGAAATCTTGTAGCATATGCGTCGTGGCAGGCGCTTTCTGGCCACGCCGCCTGGGCAAACGATATGCTACAAGATGGGTGTACTGTGAGTTCGGGTCGGACGCGCGCCTCCAAGGAGGACATATAGTACCAGCATGTCTCTGTGCGTCCCAGGCTGGGCGGCACCTTTTCTTCGGAGTTCGGCGGTGGGAGCGCTTTCGCCGTCCCCCAGGGCGCCTGGGTCATGGGCAATCGCCCGCAGGCGGGCCTGGATTTCGAGCTTTCTCTCGGGCTGCAGATTTTGGGGATGCCAGCCCGTCGAGTTTGGATCCCCTCGGGTGCCGTTCGCTGCACTGGGTTCCAGGTAGCGCTCTGCGGGCGCCGGAGCGAAGTCGTATAAAACAAATGCGTCCCAGCACAAACGACTAGGCCAGAGGCTTAACAATATATATATATATATATATGTATATATACATACATATATGCATATATTTATATATACAGTTATACATATATATATATATATATATATAGATTCGTTTTCGTGGCGTACAGCAGCCGACTCTACGACGGGGGGGCGAGGCGGCCTCTCCGGGCAGGGCCTGCCCCAAGGGCGCCCCACGGGGCCAGGCCTCGGCGCGCTCCGCGGCCCTGGCGCCAGGGGCTCCTGCCGCGCGGCTCCCGCGCGGGCGCGGCTTGGGGTGCTCCAGGGGCAAAGGAGGGCATGTCCCTCTACAGGAGGAATATCCAGACATAGTCAAGCAATGCTCTGGGAACTATTTGTTCGACTACTTTTGAGTATCTCCATGTTTTGTATGCATGTTTGTTTTTCCTCCCAAGTCCGCCCGTAGGAGGACATGCCCGACCGAACTCCAGGGGTGAGGAGGGAGACCACCCGCGTCGGCGGCGCGCCCAGGGGGGAGGTGAGAAAGGGCGGGCCTTCTCGGAAGGCTCGGGCGGCCTTGGGCCCTCTGAGGAGCTCTCTGAGCTTTTCCCGAAGGCGCAGGAAGCTTCTCAGAAGGCCCGAGGGCTTCCGAGACGCCCCGCCGCCGTCTGAGGGAGCCTTCTCCTCCTCGCTTCCCCCCCCCCCCTCGTTCGCCGCCGACAGGCCTCCCAAGTAGCCCAAGACGCCCCCAAGAGAGCCCCGAGGCGGGCCAAGAGCAGCCCGGGCCTGCCCTGGAGGTCCCCAAACCGGCCCCACAAGGCAGAGCGACCTAGACATCCGACGATGTGATTTCTCAATGCGCGGCCCCAGGGGTCCCGATTCCTTCCTTGGAAGCCGTCTTTCGCCCCGGAGCCACTCTGGAGGGCCCCAGGGCCTGGCAACGGGCCCCGGAGGCCCAGGCCGAGGAGGAACGCTTGTCGGAGATCTGGACTGCTGCGCGGAGAGGGGATGAAACAGGGGAGCAGGCCCCCCCCCCCCTCGGGGGCGCCGCTGGCGCCCCCTCCTGAGCGCCCGGGCGCGCTCAGGTGGCGGCTCCGGCTCTTCTGCGAGCGCAGGGGCTGGCGCTGGTGGACCTACGCGGCGGAGGACGGGGCCTGCGCGAGCGACAGCGACGGAGAGGACCGCCGCGGGCCAGCACCCCTCTCGAGGGCACCTGCGCTCTCCGAGATCTGGGCGTCGCAATTTGTGCACGCCGGGCGCGTTCGTCCCGCTTCGGGGCCCCGGGACCATCACAGGTCCGTCCGGCTTGAAGCTTGAAGCAGAAAGAAGGTCTGAGGCTCGGGCAGTGATTTTTGGCGATGCTGCAGCTTTTGTCACAACGTCGGGCCGCAGTGTCCCGCCAGGAGCGGGGTGGCGCCAGGGGGGGCGGCCTCCTGAGACGGCGATGGGGCTTCTGAGAGAAGGCAGGGAGCATTATTGGAAGACCCTGGGAGCTTTAAGAAGACTTCTTCGAAGACATGCGGGCTGCTAAGAAGCACCCCTGCCTTCTAGGAAGCCCCGCCGCCTTCTTGGAAGCCCATCCCCTTCGCGCCCACCCCCTCGTGGGCGCCAGTCCCGGCAGGGTACGGTGCAGAGGTGCAGCCGCGACTCTTGGAGATCTGTACACACAGGGTGGGCTGGTGGCCCCGCTGGCCACGGAGCGGCTTGGACCTTGACAGCCATGGATCTGATGAGCCTCTCGTCCACGAGTGGACAGTTGGGCAGCGCCAGGATGGCACGGTCAAGACGCATAATTACATTTAGGGCCACCTTCGGGGCTCGGGGGTGGCTCTGAATTTGGTGTCCCTCTCTTCAGATCGTGGCCGAGGAGGAGGAGGAGGAGGAGGAGGAGGAGGAGGAGGAGGAGGAGGAGGAGGAGGAGGAGGAGGAGGAGGAGGAGGAGGAAGAGGAGGAGGAGGAGTTGGAGGAGGAGTAGGAGGAGGAGGAGGAGGAGGAGGAGGAGGAGGATCGCGCCGCCTCAGAGGTGGATCGGCGATGCGCGGCGATCGCCTCAGAGGTGGTCGGGGAGCCCACTCGTGGCCGAGGCTCGCCGTGGCCGGGAACGCCCCGTCGTTCCCTGCCCAGCGCTCGCGGCGGCAGCAGGGCTGCGGTTGACAGCATTGTGCCGTGTCGACGCGGCGAAGGCCCCAGCGCGGGCGCTGACGGTTGAACGCCGTACATGGTCTGCATTCGGCCGATCTCGTTCGTGGCCGAGGCTCGCTGTTCGTTGTTCAAGAGGCTCACGCCGCGCCGCCGGCCCCGTGAGAACGAGGGAGAAGGAAGACGAGGATGAAACGGGCAACGACGGTGAGACTCAGAAGGAGGATGAGAAGGAGAAGGAGGAGAAGGAAGACGGGAATTTGTTTGATGTTCTGGGGGCCTTGCTGAGGTCCCCATCATGGAGCCTCTTTGGATCAAGCGAGTCCTTCCGGGGTTGTCGCTGGGGCCTCCTTTATTGCAAGGTGGTCGGGGCTCACCGTTCGTTATAGTCTTAAGTCGGGCCTGTCCCTCTACAGGGGAATATTCAAAAATAGCCAACAAATAGTCTTGGGACAATCTTTTGAATCTTTTTAACCATGTTGGAATATATTTTAGTCGTACGATGGCTATACCGGCGCGTGGCGTTGCATCCCGAGTGCGCCGTGCGAGCGAAGCCTCAGCCCGCCCCGCTTGGCGGAGCCCTCCGAGTCCAGCTTGTCCTTCTCGCTGCTCTGGCTCCTCGATGCCTCGCAGAGGCAACGGCCAACCGGGACGCTCCAGACAGGGCTTCCCCTTTTATCGACTAGGCGTAAGAGTGACCTTTCGCCGGAGTGACCTATGGTGCGGGCACAGATGGGCCCCCAGATGGCGGAGCGCGAAGCGGTAGCAGCGGCTAGCGCGCCTGGATTTAGCCTGCCTGCCGCCATGGCGGCGGACAGGCGGCGGAAGCCCGCGGGAGTTTTAACCGGTCGCGCGTCAGCAGGCGGAAGGCCAACGGAAGTAAGAGTTGGCCCACTGAGAGATGCCTTCTCTTGGGGGGCCAGGGTTTCTGGAAGCCGCCATTTGTCTCCAGGCAAGACCGCTGGAACAAGGGCCGCTTTTCGCTTGGGCCTCTGCTCAGATCTGGGTCGGGAAGGCCCATTCGTGGTCGAGGCTCGCCGTGGCCAGAAAGAGAGCTCAGTCGTTCCTTGTTCAGCGTTCCTACGGGTAGCACGGTGACTGTAGTGCCGTGAACGCAGGTGGCTTCTCAGCACATTGGCGGGAACGCAAGGATCTGGACTAGGATGTTCGAGTGGAAGCGTTGGGAATGGAGATGGCTCTTGGAAGTTCTGGAGAAGCAGAGAAAGAGGACGAGGAGGACGACAACGACGATGAGGGACGGGGGAAAGTGAAGAGATGGGTCGTAGATTGTAGAGGGAGGAGAGTTTTGGATAAGGCAGTGGTGGGAGAGATGGAAGAAGTGTGGTGTAGAGGAGTATGGGTAACCAGTTGGGAGTCAGTGCAGGGTCGGTGTAGGTAAGAGTTGGAGCAGGGGCGGTCGGGAGTAATAGTGCGACTGGGGGTCTGGCAGTAGTAGCAGGCGCAGTTGCGGTCGCCGTTGTTACATTGTAGCCGCACTGATCGCAGTTGCAGTCGTGCTGGTATCGGCAGCCGTGGCCGTAGGGATGGTGGGGAAGGAGGATGGCGAACAGTTTAATCTGGGGGAGCACAGCCAGACCCCCGATATCGACCTTCTGTCACGTGGACCTCTGGAGGTCTCGACCCCCTCCCCAGGTTTGGCTTTCCTCCTGTGTCGTTTTTTGACGCTCCTGGGGCCCTGTGAGCCGCAGCTGCAGCCCCAACTCCAGATGGCTCTATCCGAGCTCATGCCCAGCTCCATCTTCAGTTCCTGCCCAGGTTCAGTTGCAGCTCAGCTCTAGGTCCAGCTCCAGCCCGGTTCAAGCTCCAGCTCCGGCCCATGTCCAGCTCCAGCTCCTGCTTCGCTCAAGACCGATCCCCGTCTCCAGCCCAGCTCCAGCCTCAGGTTCAGGTCTAGGCCCAGCAAGCCCCAGCCCAAGCTCAGCTTCAACTCAGCTCCAGCACAGCTCAAGCTGTGACTCCGGCTGCCGCCGAGCTCCAGCTCCAGCCTTGCGGCCACTCGAATATCATCCTGTTCAGGTTGTGCCGGTTGGCCAGATTGCATGTCCTAGATTGCTTAGCTCAGACCTCGCAGCGCTCATTGCCCAGGTAAGATTGAGTCGCCCAGATTGACCAGTTTGCATGCTCCAAGTCGTAACGCTACGCAGCAACACTTGCAGGCCAATCCTCGCGTAGAACACAGCGCGTCTTCACTCGCAGGTGCTGCCATGCACGCTGCCAAACGTTGGCTGCTGACTCGCAGGCGCAGCGTCTCCCAAACCCGTAGCTGGCTTCTTCCTGGGGCCACCTGGCGCTCCCAGGGCGCGGGCACGGCCGCCCAGATGCCACAAGTGGCCGAAGGCCTTCCGTCGTGTCTCTTGCGCGACTCGAGGATGTCGGGCCAGACCCCTCCCTGGATCTGTCCCGGTCTGTTTCTCGAGCTGCGCCCAGCCCCGACGACGAGGACCTCCGGTCACGTGCAGAAGCCTCGATCTCCGACCCCTCCAGCCTCGATCCTCGATCCCTCGATCCCTCGGTCTCTGATGGATGGGGCCTGGGTCGGAGGAGAGGAGTACAGCGGCGAGAACGGCGGGGGCGATCGGCATCACCCAAACATAGTTCTGTACGTCCCCCCCCGAGGGCGACGCGCGCATTCAGGAATCTTGTAGTCTATGCTCGGTGGGGGGCGCATTCGGGTTATTTTGCTGGTATACACGCATACATACATACATACATACATACATACATACATACAGACAGACAGACAGACAGACAGACATACATACACATACATACATACATACATACATGCATACAGACATGCATGCATACATCCATACATGACTCCATACACATATACATACATACATGTATGTATGCATGCATGTATGCATGACGCTCATGCATGCATGTGTGTGTATGTAGGTGTCGGTAGGCATGTAGGTATGTATGTATGTGTATGTATGCATGCATGTATGTACACATGTACGTATGCATGCATGCAGGCAAGCGTGTGTATGTATGTATGCAGGTCTGTGTGCATGTATGTATGCATGGATTGCATGCATGCATGCGTGTATTTCTGTATGGGAGTGCATGTATGTATGATGCATGTCTGTATATTTGAGTGTATGCGTGTATGTATGCATGCATGTACGTATGTATGCGTGTATGTGCGTTTGTGTGTATGTATGTGTGTACTGGCGTATATTCGCGTGTGTGAATGTATGCATGAGTGGATGCACGCACGTTTACATTCATGCATGTATGTATGTGCGTATATATATATATATATATATATATATATATATATATGCATGTATGCATGCATGCATGTATGTATGTATGTACGTATGCATGCATACACATATGTACTTTTTTGTGCTTATGTATGCGTATATTCCTCTTCCTATATTTTTATAAGCCCGGGCGGGGGGAAAACCCGTCCCCCCCCCCCAAACCGGACTCCCGGGACCTGGGGCTTTGGGACCAGGAGGAGGAGGGGAGCAGCAGCAGTAGCCTCAGCAGGAGGAACCGGAGGGGCATTTGCATGGTCGGCAAGGAACAAGATGAGGAGCAGGAGGAGACGGCTAAAGGGGGGAGGACGGGGAGGAGGATGATGAGGGAAGATGATCGCCCTCCTCCTCCTCCTCCTCCTCCTCCTCATCATCATCCAAGGTGGCAAAAGTCACCAGGCCGAGCGGCCACCTGCATAGAAGCTATACTACACACTACCCGCCTAACGAAACTTTCGTCCCACGGACAGTTCGATTGGTCATACCGACGCGTGGCCGCTTCCATGAATGTGACGAGTGCTGCATTGGAATCTTCTTTCCTTCAATACGCCGACTCGCCAGGAGGAGTTTGTGACCCTCTCGGGCAAGAATTTCCACGTGTGCGTTCTAGTTGGCACGCAGCTCCAAGCTCGCGAACAGAAGATTGTGAAACAGAAGATCGGGCAGTCTCTCTTGTTGCACGCTGGCCACTCAAGCGGTGCGCATACTAACAAGACGGCTGGCATCTCGATTTGTCTGAGCTGTGGGCTTCGTGAAGCACATGTGGCGAGGCAGAGGACTGTTGATCCTGAATTTGCGGGCGGGGGGTTCGGCGTATGGGCTGAAGCGCAGTGGTATGGACATCCCTGTGTTGGGACTGTACTACCCTCCTCCTAGAGGTGTTCTTGGTCGTCCTAACTATTTCACGACTGTGTCTAGGTTGACTACTTGGCTTCGAAAGGTCTTCGTGGACTTGGAGGCGTGTGGGCGGGCCTTCCCGATCGTGTGCATGGATTTAAACGACGGTATTGGGATTGCTAAGACTGGCAATAGGTGGGGATATACTGACACCACGGTAGTTTCTGAGGAACTTGCTAGTCGTGAGCATCTAGCGGGAGGGGCGGGGCAGCTTGTCCGAGAACTCCTGGAAGAACGCGGATTGGTCCGTTTTGGGCTCCGGGAAGTTTTTGAACCTACGCGGTGTGGTTGGGATGGTAGTTCTAGCAGGGTCGACTACATGTTTGGGCCCGCGTCGGCCCTCGGTATGGTCAAGACTGGAGGGCCTCCCATGGGGCCTATTCGTAAGCATCAACTTATCCCGTCTCGGTTCCCGCGTGATCATGTCCCTATTCGTTGTAATCTCAAGTGGGTGCACACTGATACCAGAGAGGAGCTCCAACGTGACAGTTTTTTTTTTTTTTTTTTTTTTTTTTTGAATTTCGAGGCCAAGCGTTTCAGATTTGCCAGGAGTCTATCGCTCGTGCGTCTCAGGAAGTTGCGGCTCGTGAGGACGAGCTGAACGGTTTATTGAAGCCAAGCCCGAAGGCTATTTTCACTGCCTCAACGAGGCGCTGAAGGCACCTGCCAAAGCTGTCTTTGGTGCATCTATTTCTGTTGCTTCTCCTTCGTACCGGCGCCAAGGTGATGAGCGCAAAGCTCTGCTTCTTGAGAGTCTCCGTATTCGGTCTTGCCTTCGGTGTGCCAACGCGGACATTGAGGAGGAGAGGATTAAGGAGGAATTCGAAGCATGTAGCAAACGATGCGCTCAGCAGCACAAGAGACACCAGGCGGAATGGAGGGCGGAGGTCACCGAGGAATTGGAGAAGGATTGGAGACAAAGAAACCATAAAGAGGCACATCGTCTTATCCGACTTTTGGCATCCCGTGGTAAGGGCCCACGCGGACGGTTGTATTGACATCTCCAAGGCTCGGCATCAACTTCGGATGGGAGGTTGAGCGCATTGACACTTGAAGGACCTAAATGGGGAATGGAGGTGGAGGAGATCACGGAGGAAGAAAGCGAACTCGAGGGGAAAGGCGCCGAAGGATATCATGGGACGTACACCGTCGAGGCACTTGTGGACATGCCAGCGATAGGTAAATATTTGCGCAGGGCACCCAAGAGAAGGTCGTGCACACCTTGGTCACTCACAGCGGAAGTCTGGGGACTTGTTATTGATCCTGAATTTGTATGGGCACCTGAAGGGCTAGGAGTCGGTGCGGAGCGTGCTTTTGATGTTGAAACCCTTCAGTCGGCCCTAGCAAAGGGTCTGGAGTGTGTTCATTCTGCTAAGCGGTTCCCTCGACTTTGGAACCGGAACTTTGGATGCGCCTTGCCAAGATCGACCGCTCCAGGGCCGAAAGGACGTCGGGTCATTCACCTTCTCGGTCCCCTGGGCAAAGCTTGGCTTGCTGGGGCGATTGCCAGGAAGAAGCCAGCCCCTTTGGGGCCATCGGATTATGGTTTCACGAGGGGGCGTCGTAAAGAAGGGGCTATGTTAATCATTCGGATCATGCTTCACCGTCTTCGACTAGGAGGTTATTCGCCGAGTTGATCTAGCAAAGGTTACTGCAAACTTTTTACCTTCGACCTTTTGGGAGTCTCTTGGACGTTCTAATGATGCGCTTCTCGAACCTCAGGACCTTGTTTTCGGAAGAGATGGCTTCAAATCGGCTGCGATTCAGCTACCAGTGTCAGATAGGACGCTTATTGTTCGTCAGCGATGCGGGGGCTTTTATGGGCGCTCCCTACGCGGTGGAAAGTTTCGGCAGAGCTTATGCACATCCAGTCGACGATTGGAGTGACGGGCTGCTCGACACGTTGGACTCGGAGAGGCTTCTGCGTGCTACTTGTCCAGTCATTCATCAGGATATCGACCTGAGCTTGATTAAATGTGCTGGTGATTTTACTAAGTTGCACATTGGAGGCGGTTCTGAATCCTCCCTGCTCGACGCAGGGCTTTCTTAATTGAGCAGCGCGGGCGTGCACTCCAACATGCTATTGGATGGATTCCTGGCCTCGGTTGGGTGGGAGCAGCACGATGACAAACAACACGCTATCATCTGCCTGAGCGGTCAGGGCTCTATTGCTGCTAATCGTAGGTTGCGCGTTCGTGGGGGTGATTTTTTCTTAGGCGTGGTCTCACCGGCTATGAGAGTTTTGGGCGGACAAGACATAGTTCAGGATCCCTGTCTCCAGAGATTAACACACGAATCGCGGCCATCTAATCCTCGTTCCACTCCTTGGGTAAGTTTTGGTCGACTCCTCGGGCATCGTTTCGTCTTGTTCGATCATGTCTCCTGTGGGTGCAGAGCGCAAATATCTCTAATCTCGAGGCCTACTTGGTCACAGAAGCACAGTGTAGCAAGCTCGGCTCGGTCATCGTTCGGTACTGTCGTGTCGCCATGCGTGGTGCTAGCTTTGAAAGTGAAGGGCACATACACATTTTAGCGAACGACTAGGTGCTCGCGCACTGGAGAATGGTACATTGTTTCTTGAACTCAGGGTCATACGCTTGGGCTGGCTTGCGCAGATGGTTCGGTTCCCCCATCGGATCGCGCAGATTTTGGCTGCGATGTTCGGCACCTTGCCCACGGATGATCGAGAACAGTATGAGTAGATGGGTAGATTGGCACAGTATGCGAATCCGTGGGTCAGGTTGTTTCACTCAGATGTGGAGTGCAGGTCCTGGAGGAGGGTGAGACGTTGCTCACTCGTCAGCAGGGCTCCTTCCTCGCCTTGTGGTGGGATCGCACGCTCGGCGGGTAATTCTGCAACTCAGATTTTACCCAGCTCCGACGTCGTCGCCATGCCGTCAACATCCCACCACCTGAGTATCATTCTCCCTCGGACCAGGCTCTGGAAACGGGGGTGAATGAGAAGGGGGAGGTCAAGTGGATATGCGGGGTGTGCAAGGAGGAGCAAGGCGAGGATGGGATACCGACTGGGAGGGGAGTCAGATGTGACGCCAGATTCGGGGACAAGAAATCGGCTTTCAACCATCTCCGATTTCACCACCATCTACGTCTAGAACTCTTTAGCAGTAAAGTTACAGCGGCCCGCCACTGAAGTCCGCCCAGCACGGGAGTCCCCTGGTGCCCTTCTGGAGGGATCTCTTTGTCCCCCTCGCCCTGGGCCGGGGCCCGAGCTGTAGCCTTCCCCTGGCCCGGGGATCCCCATTCCCCAGGGGTATGGGGCTGGTACAGCTGAGCCGTCCTGTGGTCGGGGTGCGGTGAGGGGGGTGCCCCAGGATGGCCCCCCCCCCGGGCGCCTCTCGGATCGAGGGGCGCCGTGGCGCTGAGGCACTGGACCCCCGTGGCAGGCGGCGAGCTACCCCCCAACCGTTTCTGAGTGGGAGGTGTCGCTAAAGGGGCCGTGCCCGCGGCCCCACTCGATGTTTACCCCAGCCATCACCACCAACCTCCTTCCTCGTTCCCTCCTCCATCCCCTTCTCCTTCCATCCTTCCTCGTTGTTTGTTTCTCTTATGTCGCCTCCCCGCCCCCTCTGGGAAGCTGATGTGTTGTTTGTCTAGTGCAGGGCAGGTTTTGTCATCATATGCGTTTCCCAGTGTTGTTCCATGGTCTCGTCCTGGGACGGGGGCGGGCGCCGCGGGAGCGAAAGGGCCAGAAGAGGAGGAGAGGAGGAGAAGACGAGAGAGAGAGAGAGATATTATCCATATTTCGAAGAAGACGTCCAATCAACACAAGAGGAAGAGGAGGAGGGAGAGACAGACGGAACGACATCTATGATGCAATGGGGGGGGGGGGGCGATCACACACGTATACGTATGTATGTATGCATTCATGCATGCATGCATATGTGTATGTCTGTCTGTCTGTCTGTCTGTATGTCTGTATGTATGCATGTATGTATGTATGTATGTATGTATGTATGCATGCATGTATATATGTATGCATGTAGGTATGTATGTGTGCATGCATGCATGCATGCATGTCTGTCTGTATGTCTGCATGTATGTATGTATATATATGCATGTATGTCTGTCTGTCTGCATGTATGTATGCATGTATGTATGTATGTATGTGTGTATGTATGCATGTATGTATGTATGTCTGCACATGTATACATCCGTACACATATGCATACATCCATACATCTATGTAGGTGTAACTTTGTGCATACAGACGAATGCAGAAACATGTACATGCGTCTAGTGCTTTATGTATGTTTCTACGATGTATGCATCTGTATGTGGGGAAGGAAGCACATATACTTCAACACACACACATGCGCACCTATCCATATGTGTGCGTGTATATTTATGTGTGTGTATACATCAAGGTCAGATGCTTGTGCTTCATGCTCGGCTCGGACGCGCGCCTCCAAGGGGGGCGCATCGTCTTCGTGTGTCCTCCTCCGCCTCCAAGAAGGGCAGGCTCTGCCCTCGCCGGGGGGCCCCGGTGGAGCCCCCCGAAGAGCCGCCCAGGACGCCCCTGCCAGCGAGAGCGGGGCGCACCTGTTCGCCGGCAGCGGCGACGCCGGGGGGGGGGCTGCGCAGGGCCGCCCACGGCCCCACGCTTGTTCGACTCCAGCATTCTCCCTCGCTCTGGGCCCTGTTGGCCCGTTGCCTTTTCGCAGGCCCAGAGGTGGACACCAACACCAAGATCGGCGGTGTGCCTCCACCGAGGGAAGAAGATCCCGCTCTCGGTGATGGTGGTAAGATTGTGGCTTCCAAGGTGGCCGAAATATTACCACCAACGCCGAAATCTCGGATCTCCTTCCCCCTGTGGAGGAACCCCCCTGTTTTGGTGTTGGTGCCCATCTCCAGGCCTCCAACCTTTCTCTGTTCTTTCCCCTCTTCCTGCATCCATGCCCAGATCGAGCAATCCTCGCGGCCATGCCTGGGCGTGCTGTCGCCGGAATAACACGCATATAACTACCTGAGTGGACTGCGCCCTGATGGCCCGCTGCCAGGACCCGGGGCGATCAAGGAATGGGTCTGGGGCGCAGGGCCGGCCCTGGAGAAGGGGCCGGGACCTCTGCGGCCGCGGATTGGACATATATAACAGTGGACTGGAATAGAACGCCACCCCGCTTCCCACGATCCTCATGGTTTCGCAGGCCTAGAGGTTGACAGCAACACCAGTTTCGGCGGTGTGCCTCCACCGAGGGAAGAAGATCCCGTTCTCGGTGATGGTGGTAAGATTGTGGCTTCCAAGGTGGCCGAAATATTTCCACCAACACCGAAATCTCGGATCTCCTTCCCCCTTTGGAAGCAACCCCCTGTGTTGGTGTTGGTGCCCATTTCCAGGCCTCCAAATATAACCGTGGATTGGAATAGAACGCCCCCCCCCGCTTCCCACGATCCTCATGATTCTGGCCAAGACAGTTTTGATCAGCAGCGGGGAGCGGCAGGGCCGAACTTCATTCTCGCCGGGGATCCAGGCCTGGGGGCCCCAGGGCCGCGACCCCGACAGCAAAGATGGGGGGAGCCGGTGGCCTGACCCGCCGGTGGGGGGCTCATAACAGCTGCTGAAAGCCACCAGACAGCCGTCACGGCGGCCAAAGACGGCCCCGAGTCACTCCCGCGCCGCTCTTCAGGGGTCTCCGACGGCTCAAGATGCTTTTCAAACGCTCCAAGAAGCGTCCACGATGCTTCATGACCGGTCCAAGAGGACCCGCAAGAGGGCCCCGAGAAGCAAACATCGTCCCATTGGGAAGCGAGCATTTTTAGTACATTTGCCTTCTTGGCTTCAACACGGTCCAAGACGACCCAAGAGGTTTCCATAACAGCCCCAGGACTGCCCGAGAGACCCCCAAGAGGGCCTCTAGACGGCCTGAGAGGGCCCCAAGACAGACCAAGAAGACCCGAAGATGGCCTTAGAGGGACCCAAGATGGGCCCGAAAGGGGGAATCCGAGCTGCCATTTCGAGCCCTCCACCCAAAGAGGACCCCAGGAAGCACCCAAGAGTCCCTAGGAGGCCCCGGGGGAAGGCTCCAGAGGACCCCCAAGATGCCCCCAACTAGGCTCCGAGAGACTTCCAAGGAGACCCCAAGATATGGTTATGAGGCGCCTCTGGTCTAGAACCCAGCCAGATTCTCCTCCTCGATTCCAGACCGCCGTCAAGGCGGCTCCAGAGGGCCCCCAAATCGCCCCCAAGACGGCTTCGAAGAGTCTCCGGCGGCCCGGGGGGGCGTGCGTGTGCGCGCGTGTGGCCTCTTCCTTTCCCTACCCCACCGCGGCCGCCCGCCTCCCCGTCTTGTCCCTCTCTTGCGCGCTGGCCAGTTCGCTCTTCGGTGCCCCCGTCCAGCTCCTTCGCTGGTGCAGCCAACTCTGCCTCGCCGCCGACGCAAGTGTGCGTGTGTGTGTGTGTGTGTGTGTGTGTGTGTGCGTGTGTGTCCATGTCACTGGGAAGTGGCGCACGCAGTACCGATGGGCCCTTCTGGGGGCGCCCTCGAGGGCCAGGGGGGGTCCCAAAGTGCGCTCAGGACGCCCCGTAATCATTTTGACTCAAGCTGCTCGCTCCGTCCAGGCAATCGGGGCGTGAGCAATTTTGAAATTCAAGGGTTGTGCCGATCCGTGAGAGCTGCATTTGATGTCATTGGTGCTGTCAGCGCTGCTCGAGATATCGCCAAAGTATGCCGTGCCGTCTCGCCAGCTCGCTCTCATCGTTGCTTTCTGGGCTACCTTTCCTTCGAAATTCGTGGACGCTGCTTCTCGGATCGTTACTGCTAGGAACGTTGACTTGTGCTTGCACGGGTCACCCGGCGGTGCTGTGATTCTGGTAAATTGTCTCGAGTCCGCTGCCAGCAATGTCACGTGGGATTTGGATCCGCCGCATCCCCCAAAGGGGCCGCTCTGTCTGAAGCCCGGCCCTGGCTGTCTGAGCGGAGCGCTCCAACTGGGTGTCAGCGATGACGAATGGCTTTGGGACTACACGACGATGCGCATTCAGCACGGGGACAAGTGCCTGACAGCCGTCGACACTGACAGCAATTTGCCTGCGGTGAGCCTCGAGGAGTGCGAGTCGGGAGGGCACGAGCAGAATGGAGAGGGTCCAGCCAGCCAGTCTTGGATCCTCCTTCCTACCAGCCGTCCCCAGGTCGACATTCTGTCGGAGCTCACGTTCCCCATGCGGGCAAGTGGCCGCTATTTTGTTGATTCTGCTGGTAAGAACGTGAAGCTTGTTGGAGTCAACTGGTTTGGCGCCCACATGGAACAGCTTGTCAATAACGGCCTTGACAGAACTACGGCCGACAATATCGCGGCGCGCATTCTGCACATGGGTTTCAACTCCGTCCGGCTGAACTATGCTCTCAATGTCACTGTCAATTCCAGCGGTAGTTTCCCTGATGTGCCAGACCCTAAATATGTATCTGGAGACCCCAGTCTCGCAGGCCTGAACGTTCTGGAAGTATTTGACAAGTGCGTGGAAGCACTCACGTCCAGGGGATTGCTCGTGATTGTCAACGTGCACATGCTCGATGCTGCATGGTGCTGTACCACGACCGATAACAACGCGCAGTGGTACAACGATGTATTCTCTGAGGAGGACTGGACCGCATCTTTGAATCTCATGGCGGCCAGGTACAGCGGAAACCCACGAGTGATAGGATTTGACCTCTTCAACGAGCCCAGACTGAATTCCATTACCAACGACGTCTCATATTGGGGTGTCTGGGAGGCGGGATCCTGGCTAAGCAGTCCGTACGTCCGTTTGAGGGATTGGCGAGTGGGTGCTGCCAAGGGGGCCGTGGCGGTTTGGAAGGGCAACCCGGATGCATTGGTCATCGTTGAGGGCTTCAATTTTGCTATGCACCTCAAGTATGTGCTCTCCCGCCCGATGAAATTCGCTCAAGACTGCTTGTTCTCCAGGGTTGCCTATGAGAACCATGACTATTCCTTCTTCGACTTCGAATATTTCGACTGGCTGGAATACCCGTGGTCATGGTGGACCGTGTACCAGGATTTCAAGACGATGCGCACCGAGGCGAACATCGATAAGGAAGAGATCGAGGATGTTCCAGGTTACTGCGATGATGCCGATGCTTACGATCGATTCAAGCGGGGCCGCCAGGCGTCGTTTCTCTTCTTGTACACCGAGGGCAAGGCCCCTGTATGGACAGGTGAAGTTGGGACAGACAAGAGGAACGACACGGATTGCTACTGGCAAGATGTGCTCAAGCTGTACAAAGAGTTCGATTCCAGCTGGTGCTACTGGCCAGTGGATCCGATCAGAGGCCCGATAGATAATCGGGCCGATACCTATGGGTTGTTCGACGCCCAGTTTAAAGATTTGATAAGCTTACGCCACATCCGCCGACCCTCCTTGAGTGTATATTGTTTCCGATTGTTTGTGGGGGCGTCCAGTGTGATGGTGGTGTAGATGAAAGCGAGAGGGGGGGGGGTCAGGGGTGTCTTGGGGGCATCTGGGTCCGCGTGGAGTCCGTGTTGGGCGACTCGGGGTCTTCTTGGATTGTCCTGGGGTTCTCATGGGCCTGTCTTGAGGCTCCATGGGAGCGTCTTGAGAGGTTATTTGGGCGACCTGGGGGCATGTTGGGGTCGAGAGCTTCAAGCCTTGCGGTCGAGGCTCCCTCTTGGAACCGTCTGATAATTCTCTTAGACTGTCTTCCTTGCTTTTTGGGCCGTCTTTGTACCTTCTTGGGCGCCTCCGATGGTGTGTTTCACGGAAAGTTTGGCGGGGTCTTTCGTGGGGTATCCCGTGGAGTGTTTCGTGCGGTGTTTCGTGGGGTGTTTCGCGTTTTTTTCCGTTGGGTATACCGTGTAGTGTGTGGGATGGTTCGTGTGGTGTTACGTGATGTGTTCTGTATTATGTTATGTTTGTTTTTTCGTGGGGAGTTTCGTCGGGAGCTCCGTGTGGCGTTGACCCTTGGTGCCTGGAATGCGGGCTGGACGGTACACGCCTCAAGTGGTACCACTCGAGGCACATCGGGCGAAACGGGGAAGGGGAGGAAGAGTCAGAGGATGAGAAGGAGGGGGAGGACGGGGAGGAGGAGGAGAAGGAGGAGGAGGACGAAGATGAATAGGATATGGCGGTGAAGAAGGCGACGACGACGACGACGACGACGACAAGGTTGGGGAGTCATGAATTTTGGTCGGGATCTCATGGTTGGCCGCTCGGGAGCCTCCCGGAGGCAGATTCAAGGCCTTTCAGGAGCCGTTTTGGAGCCTCTGGGGACGCCTGGATTGCGGGTGAGGAGTTATACGCCTCAAGTGGTACCACTTGAGGCACGTCGGCAAACACGGGGAGGGGGAGGAAAAGTCGGAAGGTGAGAAGGAGGATGAGGATGGGGAGGAGGAGGAGGAGGAGGAGGAGGAGGAGGAGGAGGAGGAGGAGGAAGAGGAGAGGAGCAGGAGGAGGAGGAGGAGGAGGAGGAGGAGGAGGAGGAGGAGGAGGAGGAGGAGGAGGAGGAGGAAGAGGAGGAGGAGGAGGAGGAGGAGGAGGAGGACGATGAGTATGATATGGGGGTAAAAAGCAACGACGGCGACGACGATGACGACGATAGAAGGCTCATGGGTGTTGGTCGGGATCTCGTGGTTGGGCGCTCGGGGGCCTTCTGGAGGCAAGTTCGAGGCCCCTGGCGGCGCTTTGTGGGTGCCTCTTGGGGCCTCTTTGGGGCCTTTCGGGGGGCCTCCTGGGGGCCCCTTGGGGCCTGTTCGGAGCCTATTGGGGATTCCTGGCGGCCGCTTGGGGCGGGACGCTCGAGGTTTCGCTTCGTGGTCCCCCCCTAGGCCCTCTCTTGGGCCCGTCTTGGGGCTCTCTTGGGCCGTCCTGGACACCTCGTGGGCCATCTTGGAGCCCTGTTGGGCTGTTTCGGGACCCTCTTGGAAGCCTCTTGGGCCGTCTTGGGGCGGTCTCGGGGGCCTCGTGGGCCGTCTTGGAGCGTCGAAAAACCAAAAAGGCGAGTTTCTTTAAGATGTACGTTTACAAAGGGAATGGGGCCATTATTGCGTCTGGGGACCCTCTTGGGGCGCATCATCGGGGCCTCTCGGGGTGTCTTGGGACTTCGGAGGCCGTGTGGAGGCCATCTTCGGCGTCAAGGGGCGGTATTTTGGCCCTGTTGGACTGCCTGAGGGGGGTCATGGTGCCCTATTGGCCCGTTCTGGGCCCCTCTACCCCCCCCTGGCTCGCATTTTCACGGACCGGGCCGGGCCCGGGGGGGCTTCGAATTCGCGGTTTGCGATTATGATGGGGGGGAAGAATCTCCCACGCCTGAGGACCCACAAGGGGTCGGTGGATTATAAGGCAGTGGTTGGTTGGAAGTTGCAAGACCTCATTTCGATTCAGGGGACACGATCAGACTTTCCCTCGTCCGTGCCGGTGCCAGAGACTTGTGTGTTTGATCCCACGGCAAACGAAGCCGCTGTCCAATCGGTCACGACATTGTGGGAAATGCTTTCAACAACGAACTGGTCTTTATGGCGCTTGTTGTGGCTCCTCTTGTTGGTACCCGTCTGTCTACTCTGTTGCATCCCTGTCCCTGTGAGATGTTGTGCGTACCTATACTTGCGAAGAGATGGAGGTGTGGAGCCCCAAGACCAAGCAAGCCTACTGGAGAAGTAATGATAGAAGAGGTGCCATGACTAATTCCGACGTGTGCTCCGTGCGCGCAAGAAGAGCTCCAGTAGGGTCCCACACGCGGCACACGCGCGTTGCTGCCTGATGCAGAAGTCAGGGGTTAGAAATGGTGTTAGAGTCGTGTTCGGAGGTCGCAGTCTAATGAGCCATACTGACAGCGCCATATATCCACAACATCTCCCCTCCTGTATCTTCTCCTCCACCTCCACGTTGCGCTCTGTCCACGCCAGCTGCATGTGCTGGGTCCCTGGCGAGGGCCACCCTCTCGAATTACTGAGAAGGCCTTGCGGCTGGTGCCACGACCCTGAAGTCGACGACGACGAGGACGAGGAGGAGGACGAGGAGGAGGAGGAGGAGGAGGAGGAGGAGGAGGAGGAGGATGACCCTTTAGGGGCCTCCGGAGAGCTTCTTGGGGCCGAGGGCTCCTTTGTCCTGGTGCTCTTCGGGATGGGGGAAGGCGAGGAGGAGGAGGAGGAGAAGGAGGAGGAGGAGGAGGATCGAGGGAGGGGGGCGCTTCTGGAAACCTGCAGAAGTCCCGCAAGACACTTAACAGGCGTTCACACACGCATATGGTGAGAGGGCACATGGGCGCATCTATGAGGAAGAGGGATGTCTTGGGACCCAGACCCACTGGCGTCGTGGAACATTCACGACGAGAGGTATTCTGACGTTTTTGACCTTCAGGAGCTTTGAACGGGCGGGGGACCACCAAACATCGACCCAGGACGTAGAACTGGTGGTTGCCAGAGGGTAGGTGCTTCGGCTAGAGCCCGGTGTCCTCGTAAAGGGTTTGGCGGATGTGTCGATGGGGGAGGGGGTCGGCGTTTGCAGTGGAGATGCTAGGGTGTCGCGCAAAAAGGGCGAAGCAGGGAGTGAAGCCAGGCAGGGTGGAAGGGAGGAGGGAGGGATGGGAGAAGAAGGATCGGGGGGGAGAGAGGGAGACGACCCAGCTTGGGAGACAGGGCCGCCAGCGACGGCGACGGCGACGGCGGCGATGGCGACGACAGCGAGGGCGACGGCGACGGCGACGGCGACGGCGACGGCGACGGCGGAGACGATGACGATGACGAAGACGACGACGACGGCGACGATGACGAGGACGACGACGAAGGTGACGACGACGGCGACGCTGACGTGGGTCATAGTCGTCAGGGATACTTCTTGGGGTCTCTTCGAAGCGCTCTCAGGGGCCTCTGGGAGACAGTTTAGGGATCTCTTGGGAGTCTCTTTGGGGCCTCTTGAGAGCCTCTTGGGGGCCTCTTGGGGCTGAAAGGTGTTTGTTCTTACGATCATGTGAGTTGTTCGTATGGCAAGGACGAGTCGTTTGTGTCATACGAGAGGGTCGTTCGTATAATACGAGAGAGTTGTTCTTGCGACAGCTGTTCTTAGGACAGCGCGAGTTGTTCTTAAGATACGTTTGGGCCCCCCTGTGTCAGGGAATTGGGCTCCCCCTGTGACAGGGAATACAGGGAATTGTGCGCACCCTGTGCAGGGAATTGGGCACCTCCTGTGACATGGAATTTGGCACCACCTGCGAGAGGGAATTGGGCACCCCCTGTGGCAGGGAATTGGGCACCCCCTGTGAAGAGGAATTGGGCCCCCCTGTGCGAGGGTTTTGGGCACGCCTGTGCGAGGTGTTGAACACCCTGTGCGCGGGTTTTGTGCATGCCCGGGGCACGGTTATTGGGTAGGAGGAGGAAGACAGAGGAGGAGGAGGGAGGAGGGAGGAGGAGGAGCAGGAGGGAGGAAATGGAGGAGGAGGAGAAGGAGGAGGAGGAGGAGGATCAGGAAGGGTGTTGGGCCCCCTGTGGCACGGTTTTGGGCACCCCTGTGGCACGGTCCAAGACGCTGCCAGCCCGGACGCCCCGCCAAGAGGGACCAACCAGAAAATACAAACGGTGCGCGCAGTCTTTGCTCCCAGAGCTTCCAGCCCAGACGCCCAACTCGAAGGGAGCAATCGGAGTAGTGTAGCAGCGCAGTGCGGAGCAGGAGAGGACGAACATCCATTTGCCCTCGTCTCGTCTCTTGCTCGTGACCGCCTGCCTTCTTCTCTTTCTTCGGTACCTGCACTCCTCCTCCTCCCTCCTCGAGTGAATCCAGAGAAACGCAAGAAGCGTTAAATAGGTCTCAGGAATCTCCTGCACGTCGCCGGGATCACAAAACTTACTTGTCCTTGGTCCTTATTCACCCCCAAGGGAGCTCCAGAATCGTCCCTGCATCGCCCACGGGCAGCTTGCGATGCGAGTTCCTTGGGCGCGGTTAGAACTTAAGCGCGCGCGAAGCGCCTGTGGTTCTAGTATCATATCATGAAGGAGGGGGGGAGGAGGGGCGGAGGAAGAGGAGGAGCTTAAGGCCATCGAGCGGCTGCTAAGTTCGGCGCTTGCTGGAGTCCGAGCCGGTACGGCGCCCGCTGGTGGCTGGTGGCAGCGGCCCTGCAACTTGGACGCTGTTTCTGTTGGAGTTCCTGGCACGGTTGACCAAGGACGAGGCTCCTAAGATTGGCGAACTGGACATGAGTGAACGTCAGCGGGTGTTCCAGAAGGCGGCTCGAGGGCCGGGAGGGCTCCACAACATCACGAAGGTTCCCTCGGGCTGGGCTGAGAGCACCAGGGAGGCCTCTCACGTGCCCTGCGACCGACAGGAAAAGGTAGACAACATTCAGGAGGAGTGGAGCAGGCGGTGGAAGGGTGGAAGGTGGGCAAGTGGCACAAAGGCCTGGGCTGGCCACAGGATCTGGGGGCACGATCTGACACGCCCACAGTTGCCCACCTCCGCAAGGTGCTCAAAACGTTTCCTGTTAGCACTGGTATGTCTTGTGTATGCTCAGGCACCGCCAACTTGACCACTTGTGTGACTCAGAGTTGTTCTGGACGTCTGGGTGGTGGTGAGCCCTTCGGCGTGGACCATATGGTATATTGCACGTGCTCGTCGCAAATATGCGACACTGACGGTGCCGAGCTCGCCTGTCGGATCTGCTTGTTGCTTGTCGGGGTCTCGCCGATCACTGAGGTTACGGGCTCGGAGTTTGCTTCCCTGGGGGTCACCGAGAGAGGTCCCAGCGGGACCAGTGGTGAGTGGGTATGGGCGAGTGGCAGGCTGTGGCGCAGGACCAGCACCTTTGGCACACATGTAACGACGACTTCGTGAACTGGACCACGAGGCTCTACTGAGCACCTTATCGGTGCCGCCCCCCGCGGGCCTTATACGGCACTTCCTTCCTTCCTTCCCAGTGGGACCACCTCCCAGAAGGGCTGCGTGGGCCTGTCAGCGGCCCGCGCGTTGGCGCCCTCTCGAGGGCCTCGGGGCGGCGGGGCGGAGCATGCGCGCAAGCGTGAGGCGCGCTGCGCGCTCGCGCACGTTCGCGCGAGTTCGGCAAGGTGTCATATTTTTTTGCGTCGGCGGCTAGGCAGGGGTCGTCTGCGGTGGCGGAAGAAGCCAAGCTGAGGCAGAGCCTAACGGATTGCGAGTCCATCTCCTCAGCCGGTCGGACGCACTGTCTTGAAAAGGCGCCATAAACATGAAAACTAGGTTCGGCAATTCACCTCTGACACCTGGGCCACGTTAGCTGGCAGTTTATATCGGATGCCGGCCCGCGTGATCTTCTGGCCACATCTGAGCAGTTTGTTGAGCATGTTGCGCGCAGACTTGCCGTTTTGAACTGGTATGTGAACGCGGGTTGCACGGTGCACGTGAGCAAACGCATGCGCGTTGCGCGCAACCCGCCTCAGTTGCAGGTTCTCTACCCGCAGGGCCTTCAGATCAGGCGCAATTTGCAATCGCGTTGAGCCTGTAAATCGACAGTTGGTCTCCTGCTGCCGCCTTGTGGCTCCCGTCAAACCGATCTGTGGAGGTTGGGTCGGTACCCCTGCGGTGGAGGTCAACGGTATGCTCTGGAACGAGGCGACGCATATTTCACGCTTGTTAGTTTTGAGGTCAAGGAGGCCCCCTGTGACGCCTCCACCCGAGAGTCGCCAGCGTGAAGTGTGGGGCTTTCAGTGGCAGGCAGTTGAAGGTTTCCCCCCCCGTCCCCCCTTTGAAAGGCCCCAGGAACGCAGGGCAAGAAGGCTGTTAAGATGATTGCCCGAAGGTTCCTTCCTGGAGTTTTGAAGGCGGAGTTTCCCGCCAGTCTTGAGTTTCCTGTATTTTTTGGCTGCTGGGGAGTGTGTAACCCTCAGGCATGGGCCCCATCGCATCGGCAACAAGAGAAGGAGAAAGAGGAACATGATATGGAGGAGAAGGAAGAGGAGGAGGACGATGATGCTCATGCTGCTGCTAATGATGATGATATGATGGTGGTGATGATGGCGATGATGATGATGATGATGATGATGATGATGATGATGATGATGATGATGATGATGATGATGATGATGATGATGATGATGATGATGATGATGATGATGATGATGATGGCGATGATGATGATGATGATGATGATGATGATGATGATGATGATGATGATGATGATGATGATGATGATGATGATGACGGTGGTGGTGGTGATGGTGATGATGCTGACAACGACAATGTTGATGATGGTGATGAAAAATAAGACGATGATTGCGATGATGCTGATGATGACGATGCTGATGATGCCGATTATGATAATGATGGCGATGCTCATGATGCGGATGATGAAGATGGTGGTGGTGATGATGCTGCTGCTGATGAGTGCGATGGTGATGTTGTTGATGATGACGATGTGGTTGCTGTTGTTGATGCTGATGATCATGAGGTCGAGGAGGAGGAGCGAGAGGAGGAACAG